GTGCGGTTTTAGTCGGTTCGAGTCCGACATGCCACCGACAGGTGGTATCCGAGGGGATTTCCGCACGGAAAAAGGTCCGCGTTCTGCGAAGTCAGCACATGAACACTGCAGGTGTCTGATCACAAACGCGTTGTCGGCTAAGTTTAAGGCTAAGGTTTGAGGCTCCTCCCTCAAAGGCTGGCAACGCGCTTGTGACTCCTGAGTAGCAGGCGTTCATGGGCTGCGATAGTCGCTTTCCATCAGGTGACGTCTGCTCGTTTGCCAACTATGCCATAAAAAAAGAGGTAACGGTGCGGAAAACCGCAAGCGTCAGTTTGTTCCAAAACATAAGTTGTGCGAGGCAAATAGTTTCGTGAAAAGCACACCATTATGGAGAGCCGATTATCCAAGTGGAGTGAACGATAGCGGAAAGCTTAGTCTTACACAAAGTCTTAGAGTTTTGTATATCGTTATTGTAATCTTTGCTTTTATTATACTTGTAGCGATATTATCAATATTGTTAATTAAAAGATTAACAACCTATCGATATATATATCAATGGTTTCTTATCATCATTGCACACTAATATCTTTTAAAAGTGCTGCTTTACGATGCCATTTGACGTATTTAGGTGGGGGAAAAACCTAAAACTATATATTTTTTGTGATATATTGAGTCATTTGAAGATAACGTGTTTGTGACATAATTAGTTGATTATGATATACGTCTTTGCGATTAAAATAGTAACTATCTGTTCAATATAAGTGTAGTTTAGTAAAATTAAAAAATAGCTTCAATAGTGAATTAAATTAAGAGTTCCATTATCATCTACCTTACAAGGTGTTGATTCGAATTGGGAAATAAACTATCCACGTCTTGACTCCATATCGACTCCAATATGCCTAATTATTTGTAGAAGAGATATGTTTCAGCACAAACCGGCCGGCTCGACCGTAGTGATTCCGCAGTTTCACAAAAATGAGGTGTTAATTCTTTCCTTGCTCTTCACCGAGTGAGTTAGGTTACCGGAGCCCAACTCCCTAACTGGTGATAGAGACTCAAATAGAGCCAACGCACTTGTGACCCTAGAGTTGAAGCTGGCCATGGGCGGCAGTAGTTACTTACCATACCCATATGCTCACTTTTTGTTGTTACTTACCATACCTTTATATCACATAAAGGGACCCATATTCTGGCGAGCCCGTTGGTCTGGTGATTAGTGACCCTGACTGCTAAGCCAGAGGCCGAGGGTTCGATTCCCACCCAGGACAAATAATTGTGTGATGAGCGCGATCATTTGTTATATGTCTGGGTGTAATTTATCTATAATACGTATGTATTTAGAAATATATAAGTATATTTATCAGCAGTCTGGTTACCATAGCACAGGCTCTGTATAGTTTGAGATCAGACGGCCGTGTGTGGGATGTGTGAGGTTATTATTATTATTATGGTATTCGCTAACATAAAATAAAAATTTTATTCCTATTTCTTGTTTGTGTTCATAATAATCACTCTTCATAAACTTTTGCCTCATACTTTTTTTGTTCATTAATTTTTATTACTCGGAACTCATAACAGACAGTTATCATATTATTTTTTTAATACTCATTAGTACATGTTTATACTCATTATGTTGTTTTTCCAAACAGTTTCCCTTTAACAAACAATTATCAGAATTTTCTTATTAATTATGATATTACTAAGAAAATATTTGAACTAATGATATTGTTTATCCTAACGATAACTATTCAAAGTATGATTTACTTATATTGTTAATTATTTAGTAGAAAAATATAAATAGAACTCAAGAATAACAACTACGTACGATGATATCTATTTCTTTTTAGCTGTGATTTAGATATTATTAACAGAAGGACAATCGTGCATACTTTGTCTCTCAGATCAATAATTACAAAGATAGAAGAGTCCAAATGTTGACTGCACGGATGGCGTAGTGGTTTAAGCAGTCACTTCGCCGCTTCCAACTACGCTGAGTGTTGTGAGTCCGATAGCCGCATAGCACAACATTTTGTATGATCCACAAATTGTTGTTCTAAGTCTGGGTGTCCTTTGTGTCCGTTTCATGTATGTTTGTAAACCCCCGCGACACAGCACTATGTGTTCCTGATGCGGGAGCTGTCTTAAAAAAAAAAACAATATAAAAAAAGTTGCTACTTTACTACTAAAAACTAACAACGTAAACTTTTTTAATGCTGTTAACACCCATATTTAGTCAATATTTCTAGCACTATAAAATACTTACATTTTAGATTGTGGAATTTTGATGTTTATGGAATGAGATTTTCATGTATGTTTGTAAAGTCCTCCGCGACACAGGAATATATTCCTAATGCGGGAGTCGTCTCTCAAAGACGCAGGGACTTAGAAATAGAAGGATGATTCTTCTCTCGTCGTCTACTACATGTAAATATTCGTTAAAAAAAATATGTTAGGTTCTGGCGTTTTAGCGGCCGCGCCACGCTCGCTTGGCTCGCACATTTAGGGTCCCAGTACTGAACATGGGGGTTCCCACACAGGGGGGGTCGTCTACCCGCCTTAGATGGCCCGAGGTACATCGGAGCACCAGGGATTTACTTTCTAGGGTACACCGGGTTCCCCGACTACTGGTACCTGAGACGGCGTGCGGTTTTAGTCAGTTCGAGTCCGACATTGCCACTTAAACACAGAAAAAAGGAAGGGTCGAGAAAGGTACTACCTAACACCCCTCGCTTCGCTCGTCATCGTAACAAACGGAGGTTCCTTAAATACATAATTCCACACTTTTGAAAAAATATTGTCAAATAATGTTATTGTCATCAAAACTACATAAACATTCAACCTATTCTTTAAATACGACAATTCGAACTTTAAAATTAACTTACAAGGTTTGTTTACTTATTATAGGTACATATTGTATACAATAGGTATTACGTAGGTATCTCCGGATTTCCAGACGCTGCCTATTGCCAATTAGGTGATCACGTTAATTCCCACACGTACATTTAATTATATTTCATGGAACATGAAAGCTTACAAGTTAGCATTTCTATACATAGTTGGTTGATTCGTCTGTTTATTAGTTGAATATTTAGCTAGTTTGTTAGTTCATTAGTACGTTAGATTTTTATAGCATAAGGTGGCAAATGAGCAGCCGGGTTACCTGATAGTAAGTGACTATGAACACCTGCAAGTCAGGAGTCCACAAATGCATTATCTATCGTATTTATCATGAGGAGTGCTCAGAGGTATTGTTCGGACTACTACCGGCCGCAACATTCCGCCAACGTTCCACACGGCAAAAAAAAATACTATCCCAATTTTTTTTCCAATCTCAAAAAATAGTTTGTTGTTCAAAAATGCCCAACGCGCCTAAAGAAGGTCTCACTTCAAAAAACCGTGTATCAAAAACATTTTGTTCTGAGTGTGTATCAAATATGCCTTAATCTGTGACTCCTTAATATACCTGATAGTCTTACATACACCAAACAAAAACAAATTTTTCATATCGAACTGGTAGAAGCGGAGATCACACTTCAAACAATACAAACTTCATCATTGTTGTGTAAGTATCAGATCTATACTAATATTATAAAGCTGAAGTTTGTTTGTTTGAACGCGCTAATCTCAGGAACTACTGGTCCGATTTGAAAAATTCTTTCAGTGTTAGATAGCCCATTTATCGAGGAAGGCTATAGGCTATATATCATCACGCTAAGAGCAAAAGGAGTGGAGCACCAATGAAGAATGTTTCAAAAACGGAGAAAATTTATTACTATTGAGAGACGCAGACGAAGTTGCGCGGGTCAGCTAGTTTCAGATAAATAAGAAATAAAATGGTGCTAATTCTGGTGTTCAAAAACTCTCTAAACTAAACTAAAAATCACTAAAAAAAATTGTCCTGTCAAATATTACGTTTACAGAATAGGTCACGTTGTTTGGCAGAACTAAACAAAATTTTTGTGATTTTTAGTTTAGTTTAGAGAGTTTTTGAACAACAGAATTAGCACAAATGACTAAAGTTCTAAACTAACTGGCAATACTTATATAAACTTTATTGTTGAGTTTATCTTCTCAATCAACGTCCGACCAAATATAAGTACGACACAAACCTACAGACCCTGAACAAATATTTGTGCCCCAGAGATGTCATACGCTGAGCGAACACGCTATAGTATTGCCAGAATTGCAAACCTTAATTGAGTTAAATAGTACTTAATTAATATTACTGAAAGAACCGCATAATGAATAAAATGCATTCATGCACTCATGTTATTATCCCGGAAGGGGTAGACGCATATTGCTAATATTTTCATGAATCATCAACAGCCTTTAATAGTCCACTGCTGGACATAGACCTCTAATTACGAAGGAGATTTTGGCCTACTATGCCACGCTGGCGAGACGGCTTTTTCTTCTCTTTGCAGTGCTGTTGTCCTGTAGAGTTTGCTGCCCTAGTCGGCTCTTACAACACCCCTGGGATGAATAGGAGTGGTGACACTCCGTAATCTTAATCCGTCACCACGGGGATACATCTTGCTTTATTTAACTTCCACTTAAGTAATAGGGGGTAAGCGTATTCTCGTCAGGCGGGCAAGTATACTTCAAAATAATATCTACTTTTCTAAAATTTCTAAATACATAAATATCCTTACTAATCCATACTAGGTAATATTATTGTTGGTTTTCTCAATAAACACTCTCTAAAGTTTTGACTGATATTTATTACAATAGAACTTGGTTACAACATTCTGAATCACATTGTTATATCTTATAAAAATGCGAGGGAATAATGACGTTCGTAAAACCAAAGAGAACCTCGCTATGACAAGAGTGGCAGTGTTGCCACTGTACAACATCCTTTCTTGTCTATATAAAAAAAGCTAACTTCGCTACATTCACAACAACAATCACATGAAAGCTCTGCACTTTATAACGTTTTACAGATCGGAAAATTTTACAATTTTACATTTTACAATACAAAAAAACAATCAAACGAAAACTCCGAACTTTATAACTATTTACAGATCAAGCTTTTTTGGCTTGTTAATCCTTCTTCCAAATCTACTAACATGGCCCTCTTCATATGCCATACCTCTTTCCAGGGACGTTTGCTGACTTTGTTCTGTTGTATTTTCCTGTTGTCGCTTTTCTAGTTGAATCTTCTTCTTTTCCTCTGGTTCCACCTCTTCCTGCTCCACTTCTTCAACAATACACCTCTTCTCTGTCTGTTCTGGTTTATTTTCATCTAGCGTCCAATCTTCATATGCTTCTTCATCCTTAGCACTGCCTATCTCTGTCTTTCTCTGTTTCAGGTGGATTCTATTTCGGCGATATCTTCTCCCATCTACTTCCAGCAAGTAAGAGCGTGAATCTAAACGCTTCAAAACCACTCCTCGTTTCCATATTTGATCATTTATCCCACTGGGATTTAATAACACTCTAACAGATTCACCTACTCTGAGTGATGGCAAATCTTTTGCTGAACTGTCGTGTGTCTTTTTGTATCTTTGCATTTTTTTATTTAGCTGTTCATGAATTGTGTCATAGTTAACTTCCTGCTTCAATCCTTCCTTGGTGCTGCATAATGTAGTTCTTAAACTCCTACCAAAAAGCCTTTGTGCTGGACTTGTTGTTATGACAACAAGTCCTGCTGTAGGTGTGTTTCTCCATACCATTAATGCTGCTTCCACATCTTCCCCTTTTTCTTTCAGCTTCAACAGCCTCTTTACTTGCTTGACTGCAGACTCGGCCTTTCCATTGGATTGATGATGGTGTGGTGATGATGTTTTCAATGTAAAATTCCACTCTCTGGCAAATAATTTAAATTCTTTAGAGCTGTAATTAGTACCTTCATCTGAATAGATCACCTGTGGTACACCATATCTTGCAAAAATATGTTTTAGTGCTGATATTGTGCTGTGAGATGAGACATTTTGTAATCTTTTAAATTCAAAGAATGATGAAAAATAATCTACCACCACCAAATATTTATGTTTATCATACTCAAGAATGTCTGTGGCTACTTCCATCCATGGCCCTTCTGGAACTTTCCTTAATTGCAGTGTCTCCTTTTGATTCCTTTTAACATCCAGCTCTTCACAAATTTCACATTTATGTACTGTATCTTTTATGTCTCTTGCCATATGTATCCAAAAAACTCTTGACCTCGCATACCTTAGACAGGCCTCCAACCCTTGGTGTCCTTTGTGAATTTTTTCTAAAATATCACCTCTCATTTTTTCGGGAATATACACCTGTTGGTTCTTTAAAATGATCCCGTCACATACAGTTAATTGCTCTCTAACTTTCCACCAATCTTTCATCAATGCTGGTAGCATCTTCTCTTGATCAGGCCAGCCATTTTCTATAAACCATTTTAATCTCACAGCAACTTCTTCTTCATTTAAATGCTCTCTAATTTCATGTAATGTTGTTGCACTAATTCCCGTTTCAGTTAGGCCATCACTTTCTTCTATAATTTTAGCCACTATAATATCCTTTTCTGCCATATCTGTAGCAGGTAGTCTTGACATAGCATCAGCAATATTTACATTAACCCCTTTTATAAAATTGACAACAATATCAAAGCCCACCAACTGAAGCAACATTCTCTGTATTCGCTAAGGTGCATCACATAAACTCTTTTTAAATATTATTTCTAATGGTTTGTGATCGGATTGAATATGGATTGTTTTTCCAAACACATATTTTTCAAATCTTTTAACACTAAACAAAATCGCCAACGTTTCCTTCTCTATCTGAGCATATTTCTTTTCACAATTAGTCAGAGTCCTTGACGCGTAAGCTACTGGATGTCCATCCTGCATCAATGCCGCACCCAAACCATATCCACTTGCATCAACTTGAATTTCAACTTTTTTTGTCTCGTCAAAGTATTGTAAAATTGGGGCCTCTTTCAACTTACGTTTGATCGTTTTCCATGCTGTCTCTTGCCTAACACCCCACGTGCTAAAAGATTCTCGCAGCGGAGCTGCAATAGTTGATAAATCCGGTACAAATTTTGCCATGTAATTAACTAGACCTAAGAAAGAGCGTATTTGGGATTCGCTCTCTGGTCTTCCCATGTCTTCTACTGCTTTAACCTTCCTGTGATCTGGCTTGATACCTTTATTTGTAAATAAGTGTCCCATATATTCTATCTCTGTTTTCCTAATTTTGCATTTTTTCTTGTTCAATTTCAAATTTCTCTGTTCTGCCCTCTGTAACACTTTCTCCAATTTTATGTCATGGTCTCTTAAGGCTTCCTCCATGGTATCTCCTTCTCCAAACACCATGATGTCATCAGCAATGGCAATAACACCTTCTATATCCTCCATAATTTGAAACATTCTTCTTTGGAATTCTTCAGGTGCTACAGACAGGCCAAATGGGCAACGCTTAAAGCAATATCTTCCATATGGTGTCCAAAAAGTGGTCAGTTCTTGAGAATCAGGATGTAACTTCATTTGATGGAATCCATTTTTTGCATCAAGCACACTAAAAATTTTCGCTTTTGATAACATAGGAGTAATTTCTTCTACTGTTGGTGTGATGAAACGGTTTCGTATCAGATTTTCATTTAACTTCTTAGGTGCAATGCATACTCTGTTTCTTTTGGGTGTTACAACAAATACCATGTTTGTAGTCCATTCAGTTGGATGTTCCACCTTACGTATCACGTTTAATTTTTCCAGTCTCTGTAGCTCTTGTTTAATTTGTTTTCTCACTCCGACAGGAAACCTTCTGGGTGATTCACATACTGGGACTGCACCTTTGCGAACCTCCAACTTCAAAGTACCTATGTCCCCAATCTCACTTTCCTCAAATATTTGCGGAAAGTCCTCAATATCTATCTTATTAATCATAACCTCCTTTGCTGGGTTGATCAATCCCATTTTTAGAGAAGCGTTTAATCCTAACATAATTCCTTTTTGCCGAGTTACATAAAACTTTACTTTGTATATCTTACTGTTCACTTCCATTTCTAAGATGCACTCACCCTCAACCATCTCCTTCTCACCATTGTAGCATGTTAGTACTTGGCTAGAATTACTAACTTTTGACTCACAATCCCATTTACTTATGTCTTTCCAACCAATTACATTACATGTCGCACCCGTATCTATTTGAGCTTTAAGAATCATACCGTTAACCTTCACATCTGCTAACAATTTTTGTGCTTTCCTTGAAGAAGCAATACTAAGCACACTGTCAGTTTCACTGGAACTGTCGGGCTCTTTTTCTAATTGCTTTACATACATTTTACACATATTTTTGAAATTTGAACATTTTAAACACTTTTTACCATACGCTGGACACTTTTCTTTTTCAAATGGGTGTTTTCCCCCACAGTACCTACAAATTCCCATGTTGCCTCCACTTCTGGTTTTAGTCATTTTTGTTGATTTAAATTTCTCAAATTTATTAACAATCTCATCTTCGAATTTAAAATCCGATTTAGAATCTGGTTTCATTTTTTGCAATTGTTTCTCTGTTTCTTGAACGGTCATCGCTTCATCAATTACTTTTTGAAGAGTCAAATCTCTCTGTCTTAACAGTCGTTTTCTAAAATCATTGTCTTTCATACCTACTACAAATCGATCTCTTATCATTTCATCTTTTAAATCTTTGAACTCGCAACTAATAGATCTTTCTTTTAATATTCGAATAAAATTAGTATAATCCATTTGTTCATCTTGTACAGTAGAGAAAAAAACATACCTTTCATATATGATGTTTTTCTGGGGTATAATCTCAGCATCTAATCGTTTTATTATGTCATCTAGTGAGGTTATTTCATCTGCTCCTATTTGCCGTAACAATCTCACCCCTTCAGCTCCAATGACTGTTTTGAAAACTGCTGCTCTTTTCTTATCTTCCTTCTTGTCAAGATCAGTCGCCAATTCATAATTCTTCCAAGTTTGTTTCCACAAAACCCAGTTTTCCACAATATCTCCTTTGGACACGAACGGGACTGGAGCCGGCAAATTCATTTTGTATCTCGTTACCGTCTATTTTCTTCTGACACCATGTTGGTTTTCTCAATAAACACTCTCTAAAGTTTTGACTGATATTTATTACAATAGAACTTGGTTACAACATTCTGAATCACATTGTTATATCTTATAAAAATGCGAGGGAATAATGACGTTCGTAAAACCAAAGAGAACCTCGCTATGACAAGAGTGGCAGTGTTGCCACTGTACAACAATTATAAATACTAAAGCGTGTCTATCTGTCTGTTACCTCTTCACCGACCGACCAATTAAATTAAATTTCAATTGGTCGGTCGGGAAAGGACATAGAATAGTTTTTGTCCCAGAAATCATCCTTTAAGGGGGTGACAAGGGGGGGTGGAAGTTTGTACGGTAAATCTAAAACCGCTAAATCGATTTAGATGAAATAGGCTATGAGCATAGTCTGATTTTTGAGGAATAACAAGGGCTACTTTTACTGCGATATACAAGCGGGGCAGACGCGGACCAAAGGTAAAAATTAATTTTTTTTTATTAAATAATTAAATTAAATTATTAAATTATAAATAAATTACAGCCAGACACAGAATCATAATATCAAAATGTTCAAACCAATTAAAAATAACAGACTGGCAGGTAATCCTAGATTGATTACTGTACTTAATAAACACTATTGCACAACCAACACCATAAAGGAGATATCACTTCTAAAATTATTTATTTACCTACCCTATAAGGTAAAAAGAGGCATAAAAATGATTTTTTTCCGCATTTCGTCGAAAAAATTACGTAATCATTATCAAATTAATCTTTAATCTAGGTAAAAGATAATAAAAAACTCAAAATGTATTATTACTATCATCATCAACAGTCTTTAACAGTCCACATGCTCCTTATTTTTACTAAGTGGAGTGTAAGAGTTAAATTGAATTGAAATTGAATTGACTCACGGATATATAACTTCCTTCCTTCTTGAGCACACTTGAGCTTGAACGCACCTAGTCTCAGAAGAGGCTGGTAATCTGTATACAGGTCTACCTAGTACAGATTACCAGCCTCTTCTGAGACTAGGTCCAGTCTCTCACACAGATTCAACTCAGTTGTAACTGTGTGTCTAGTTTAAGATTTCAAGATATGTAATTCTGTGTGAAAGAGAAATAAAAATTATTATTATTATTCTTATAACTTTTTACGTCTGTGTTTATTTAACAATATTTAAGCTCTTTTCTTGAACGAATATCCAAAGCGGCATTGCTAGGCTCGTATCAAATATGGTTAGGTAAAGGGGGTAATACAGCAGACAGTCGAGGTGAGCTCTGACGCGTCGCAAGGAGTACTCCCTAAACCTATCCCTGAGTCGCAAGTCCCAGGCGCTGTCGAAGTAGCATGTGTTGCCTCCATCTATCACGCGATGGACCTGGCACCCGCACGGTGAATCCATAAAACGCTAAGAAATAGGTCTCTGCCAAGTTGCGGCCCCTGCTACTAAGGATAAACAAAATCATTGTTGGCAAAATGTAGGCAAATTGCTGAAGCTAAAGCAAAAGCTGAAGAGTTTGTTTAGGTAAACGCACTAATCTCGAGAACTACTGGTTCGAATTGAAAAAATATTTTGGTGTTGGATAGCCCATTGATCGAGGAAGGCTAAAGGCTGTATAACATCACGCTACCATAAATACCCAGGAGCAGACCATCAATGAAAAATATTGCAAGGAACGGGGTAAATTTATTTATTTTGAAAGATACAGATGGAGCTGTGTTGGTCTGGCTTTATAAAATGCTTGATAGGCGTTTTATGTGCAATTCCCTGCAATATACGTTACTGTTTCAACTTTGATTTTACTTTTTTACTTGAATTTATAATTTATACTAGGTCTGTTTTTATCACTGTTTTTCCTGTTTTACATATTAAATGATTAATTAATAATTATTCAATGATTAAAATATTCATGATTATAAATAATTAGTTGATAATTTATAGATTATAATTAATAATTTACTATCATTATCGTAATTTACATAGAATTTGTCATAGACATTAAATTAAACTAACTTTTTTTTGACTGCACGGTCGCCACGCCACATCCATTGTGTTGTAGGTTCGATCCCCACATGGGACAACACTTTGTGTGATCTACAAATCATTGTTCTGAGTCTGGATTCTTTGTGTTCTGAGTCTTTGTGTCCGTTTCATGTATGTTTGTAAATTCCCCCGCGATATAGAATAAATTCCTAGTGCGAGAGTTTAAAAAAGAACAAAGGTTGGGATGGGCAGCGGGTAGGGTACTGTTTCCCATCTTATTGAAGAAAACATACCTAACAAAAAAGATTACATTTTAAAAAAGTTTTTTTTAAACTCAAGAATCCATCGAATCAATCTAAAAGATTTTTCATGGACCAGGGGGTAAACATTCCGTGTGGTGACGGATTAATAATACGGAGTGTCACCAGTGGCGTATTTTAAGATTCAGCACCCCGGGCCTGTAAGGTTTGCGGCCCCATAACTTTTTTAATCATAAACATTTAATCATAAAACAATCCAGCAGTGCGTTGATATGAGAATGATAATAATGCATTAAAAAATTAAAAAGGCTTTTCAAAGAAATAAATACGAGGCAAATATGGTGTTACAAGGACGTCACCATTTCAGGTTTAGTACCTTCTTTCCAATATGCAACCAATTATTGGGCGCAAAACTTTCTACGAAGCGGTAACCGCCAATTTGGTATTTTAATGCAATTTGGATACACTGTCTGAAGCAGAAGTTAGAGTGAATGCCATAAAACTCCAAAAAGTAGGTCAAAACCTCCTTTCTAAGGAGAGGCGTATATCCAGTGGTGATAAAGGCTGTTGAGGTGAGTAGGTAAAAAATATACGCCTGTATATAGATAATGTAGACACAACAGATAAAAATGATATGATTTAATCACAAAAACATTTCCGGCCTCAAATTTCTTATCACTTCACATTTGAAAATTCCTAAATACTATCAATATTCTATTATAATAGCGTTTAACGTGGATTAGTATGCAATTTAGCAAATCGAGCTAATTAACTGAAACCAATAGGTTGAGAAAAACATTTAAGATGGTGCTGAACAGTTCAAAGAGTTCGCTGGAAACACGAGCAGATTTCTGCTAACATTTATAACTAAAGCTCTTCTTACACTTGGAGATAATCCACAAAAGGGCAGTAATAATAATCTTAATAATTAAAAAACTATTAAATCTATGTATTAACACTAACTGTTGCAAATATATTTTTTCTACTTAATTTTAGCGTAAAAGGTGTAGTAACAACAATAATATGTTATTAAGTTTTTGAAGGGATAACTTCTTATGGGAGGGTAAACCGTTTCGTTACGTAACGCGTTACGTCACCAGTCTGTCTGGCTTCCCTTTCACGCATACGGCAGCGGTAGGCAGGCTTCTCTCTCACTCTAAACCCATAGCGCTAGCCGTATTTCGGACAGACGCTTTACATAAAATTGAAGTAATAACCTAAGCTTTTCTCAAGTAAAACAATTTCAATATTAAATAGTTCAACTTAGATTAGTTTAAGTTATCACTTCTGTCGGGCGTCCCGAGACGCACACTTTTTTTTTGTCTGTAAGATGTGTTGTGTATTGTGTATGCTGTATTTACCTGTAATTATTTAGCTCACTGCTTTATGTTCTGTGTTGCATGTGTGTTGTCAGAGTGAATTAAAATGTTGGTAAATCAAATAAATAAATAAATTGATGAAAAATAGAAAAATAAAAGAACAAAACTAATGCGAAAAATAGATAAAAACCATCCTTGAAGCGGGGTGTATATCGTCAAAATTTGAGCTCAATCGGTGCAAAATTTTTGAGGTTTTTGAAGCGTACACAAACCAACTTAATATTCTATATGGAGGAATAACATAACAAGGGAGCAAACTACGCAGCACAAGAACACTTCAAAGAGAAAAAAACCTTAAAACAAACTCTATACCAACCAGCGTGGATTTAGTAGGCTAAAACCTGCTTTCTAAGAAGACCCATAGAAGAGACCATATGAAGAAAATTCTTTGCACCCCTTTTTAAATAAATATATATCGCACAAAAGCATGTAGAAGAAGTACGAAAAGGTTAAAAAGTATGTTAAAACGGCTACATAAACTATAGGGATCCAGTATAACATTAAAGTTAATAACAAGCTAGCTAAGTTAAAAAACTTCACCTCTGTCCTACACTGCCGTGCCCAACAGTCCATAACGTACTGTAAAACCCAATGTAACATCTCTGTAATTATGGTGTACAATTAAGTATTGAGTATTTGTATATTTTAACGTGTCGTGGTACATATCTATGCAATGACAGGTCAATTTATACTGGAAAAATTAAATAAGACAGTCAAAACTCTCTAGTTAGTGAAGTGGAAGTGGAATTGAAGCGACTAGCAAGAGAGAACCCAAGCAAAGTTTGATAAAAACAATCTGTAATTTGTTAATCTACAAAGTAACGACGACTGGATGGTGTAGTGGTTTGTGTAACGGACTGCTATTCCAAAGGTCGCGGGTCCAAATTCCCGCTCAGGTCAAACATTTGTGTGCATGAACATTTGATGTTTGATTTGGTCTGGGGATTTCTATGTATAATATGTATGTATTTACAAAAAAAAAGTATATATGTATTTGTATCAGTTGTCTAGTACCCATAGTACAAGCTCTGCTTAGTTTGGGACTAGATGGCGTTGTGTGTATGTGGTATAATATATTATATTATATTATAATAATACTTGATACATCTCACACGCGGCCGCCTGATTTCAGCTAGCCAAAGCCTAAACTATAGTAACCAGACTGCTGATAAACATACTTATATATTTATAAATACATACATATTATAGATAAATTACACCCAGACAGAAGACAAATGATTGTGCTCGTGGTGGGACCAGAACGCTCGACCTCCGACTTAGCATTTAGCGTCACTAACCACTAGATTAACAGGTCGGTCAGCAAATTTCAACTATAGTTAAACCGCCGTAAGCTTG